TCAAAATAACATGAATCCTACTAAAAAATTAATTCTGCTAGATAAATTAGAATAACTCACTTCTTTACCACATTTGCGACATATTCAGGCAAATGCATAAAAGCAGACTGCAAATTGAATTCAGTCAGAGAGACGGACTAATTATCCACTTCCATTAGTAAATTGAAATTTTGCTCTCGCGCGCGCAGAACAATCTCTCGCGGCTTAGCTAACTAGGACGAAAGTTTTTGTCGCGCACACGGCGCTCTAAATTCTGAAAGTTCTCTCTGTCGCACCTAAAATATAGCTCAACTTTTTATGACGCAGCGAGTGTGAAGGAATAAAGGAACGTGCACGCCAGCTAATTTTCCGAGACGAGCAAGTTACGCGCATTTGCGTGGTGACGATTCCGTCGAGCGTGACGAAATGCAATTTTCCCTACTTTGCCACCACGCACCGGCATTAATCAATTTTTAACGAACCTCAACGCGCGCGTTGATGATGGAGAACTGAGAGGACAAAGGGTTATGTCAGCAGCGAGGACTTTGTTCATCAGCCTCCGCAAGAGTCTAATCGAATTATTCAACGAGTAAAATACAAAATTCCATTCAATCTAATTTTATATTCCAGTCACGCATACAGTTCACGGTTATATGCGGACTAATTATTCAGCTTGTTAGCTACTACAGCTAATTGATATGTTTGAAAAATAAAATCGATCAAAATTTTAAAATCTCTCTGATAATTTTTATGCACCAGCTGACTCTTTTTTTTAAGTTGTAACTTATAACCTAAAATTATTTTCAATTAATTTTCTGAGCTAAAATTGAATTTAAAAAGAAAAAATAAATAAATAAGAATGTGAAATAATTTTAAAGATATTTCCCATATTTTCCTACAATTCCAAAAAAGATTATACAATAATTCTAATCAAATTGTTTAATTGAAGATATTTATTTTGATGACTAAATTATTACAATTACTCACGGACAATTGAAAATTTAATTTTCCAGAATTCTTGATTTTTGCGATATGAAGAGTTCAATTATTTGCAATGTATAGCGAATACTTACCTCACTATTGTAAGGAAAATTACATGAGTTTTTTTATTGCAAAATTAATTCTTCTATCTTGGTTTTGATTTGAACCAAAACTTTCATACTTTTTAAAGATGCAACCAACACGTTTCCCCCCTTTTTTTGTTATAATCTAGAGAAAAATCTGGACGAAAAAGCGTCTGCATAACTTCTGCTCTTCCTGCGAAAGTGAATTTAACTAGCAATTTGAAACTTTTTGTGACCAAGATACTCGTAAAGATAAAAAGGCGACGCGTGTAATGAGAGCCGGCTGGAAATTAAAAAGAAACCTCACTACTTTCTTTCTCGCGCGGCACCGACTGATTATTTTTCAGCACGTTTGCGCCAAGAGCCCAAGCAAGTTTTATCATCTCGCGCTGATGTAATTAAGGTGTAAAAATTTTATTAGTCTTTAAAGACGAGGTCGTGCCTCGCTTCGAATGTTGGTGTAATCAAATTTGCAGCGTTCGCCTTCTAAACGTGTTCGTTTATGTTGTGGTGCGTGCGAAATTAGTTTTGCGGGCTGGAACGCTATTTATATGTTGCCCAAAGTTTTGGAGCTAACGGCGTGTGAGATCATAAAGGTTGACTTGAAGGAGCAGCTCATGATAAAAATCAAAGTGCCTTCGCATCTTTGCGTTTATTCCATTTAATTTCCTGTATATTGTTTTTTCTTTTCTTATTTTTTTATTTTTACTTCATTGAAAAAGATCGCAATCGCAAGGAATTAAAAAATGCTGATCATAGTTATATCATAATTCATGTAATATTTAAATCAGGATCATCAGAGATCAGTTCAAAATTAATTTTAAATAAACAAGACAAATAAAGCATCATTCGACAATCTAGAAAAATATAACTGTTCAATATATCTCTATATTAATCGGTTGAGCTTGAGAGGGTTGATCAAGCTTGTAAAATATGCATTTAATTGCCCAAGTAAAGTAAACAATTAAATTTTTCCACAAAACCTTCTTAAAATAGTTGATCGTATTATTTCTTCCTAATGTATTTAATTTAATATTTGATGAGACGCAACCGGCGTCCGTCGCAAGTCTTACAGGTTGCATACATCGCACGGCGTCTATCGCGTTTCTCTTCCCATCTGACGCCAGCAGGCCACGTGAACCAACTGCAGATAGCGACGCCTGATAAAACTATTGAAATGGCATATCCGTTTGGGCCACGCAAGGCGAACGTCTTATTGATTATATCCATCCCCTTTGCAATATCCCCGAGAAATATTAAAATGAGAACCCCTTTATCTCCGAGGGCGGAACACACGCGCCTCCCAGCACACAGAGAGAAATCAGTTTGGCTGCTTTTTGCAGCACCATGCCGGAATCATAACTGCAATATCCGGCGTGTATTAATGCCATAAATTTCAATAATATTTGAACCTTGCGGCTTTTAGGGGCTGCAGCCGGCAGAACATAATAGGCAATATTCACGGGCCAGCGTGCGCCAAATGGCCCCATACGGCACCTGATGCTGTTGTCGGATATGAAGCCGGGCCCTTAGTCTCAATCAACTCGACACCCAATGACCAATTTAAGGCTGGACCCGGAGCCGTTGTGCGGCTCTTTTACAACTTTTATGTGTCGTACGCTTTTTAATGTCCGCCGGGGACTGCTTTGATTAAACTCTCGCTTTTTCCGCTTTGTTTGCGAGAAAATAATGCACGCGTGTTGTCATGTGCAAATGTAAGCTGAGCCTTTATGGCCCTGAGCGATGATAAACAAAAATTAGAGGCAGCACACAACAGTATAATATTTCAGCAGAAATGTGCAACATGGTGAATATACCCAACCCTTTAACAAAAAAACTAACATTTATAATATAAAATGCAATAAAATATGCTGACAAAGAGAAAAATAGCCAGCCTGACTTGTAAACAGAAATGGTAGGTTTAATATTTGGAATTTTGTGTTTAACAAAAAAAAAATCAATTTACAAAACAGAAATTGTAGAAACTTAATGGGACAAGCGTATTGTAATTATTTATTTAAGTAAAATAAGTTACGAATATTTTTCATCTCGTTTTTAATTCACTTTCATTTTCTATTAATTTTGGATAGTGTAAACCAATGTCTTTATAAATTCTCTTATTTCCGTAACTTAAAAGGTTAAATAAAATAATAGAATTAAAGGGTTAAAATTTAAAATTTCAAGTCGCTTTTCTTCATTTTCTGACAATCATTGACTTTTCATGAAACAATTAAAAAGAACAAAAAACTTCGAAATTATGAGTGACATCATTTATATCCTTAATCAAAATAAATGCGTTAGTGGTAGTTCATTTTATAATATTTTTTCAAATCGTAAAAAATAATTCTATCACATTTAATTAAAGCAGCATTATATAAGTGAATTGAAAAATTTAATTAAATCGTTAAAAATTATAAAAAAAATATTTATATCTAATTAGCAGTTTTAAGATTTAAATTTTTTTATTGTAATAAAACTTCTAATAAATTTTAAATTAACGTAATATGACAAATAAAGATTGACTTGTTGTATATTATTCTCTTTGACAAATGAGAGTTTCGTAGCCGTCTTTAAGAAGAATAATATGTTTAAGAAAAGTAAAAGTATTGTTGGGAACTAGGTCTGCAATAGTTCTAAATTTGGAAAATTTTGATACAAAAAAAAATTAAAATCCTGAAAAAAATTGAAAATGTTTCAATAAAATTTATTTTAAAAGTTTCCCATTATTTTCAAAAACTTTGAAATTTTAATTACAAAACTTTTGGAAACTAAAATTTTTTTTTAAATATTTTTAATAAATTATTTATGCACCCCAGGACTTTGTTTTATTAGCCATTTTATTAATATTTTGATCAAAATTTTTATTTCAAAGAATTTGGCAAGTGCTCATTTACCAAGGTGAAAGACCTGTGCAAAGTTAAACAGGGACGAGTGTACAATTTGTTTTATATTGTGGAGACTGAGCTGTGATGGTCTCATTTTCAGCGCATGGAATCTGCAATTCCAAGTGCGGTTTCAACTACTTTTGCATGCATGCCTCGTTTGATGATGCAAAATGTTAAAAAGGAAGAAAAAATAAAGCACTTATTGAATTTGAGAATCTACAGGCGCTCTACCTATTTTTAATGAGCGTTGATTTGCAAAAGTTTTGTTTCTTGTTGGGCGAGAGAATCCCTCTTATTCAAGTATTTCTCTTTTTCTCTTAATTGTTTCAAATTAAAATGATTTTCATACCTGAATTAAAGTATACCAGAAATAAAGGAAAAAGCAATCCAATTATATCGTAATAAATATTACAAACAAATTTTTTCCAACTTGTGTATTTAGCATGCAGACGTGAGCAAACTAAAAGCACGCCCCGTGTATTTTATGGTTCACGATTTCACGCTTGCGAATGTGTGCATCTCACACTTTTTGCGCTATTACGTGCTGCCCCTCTCGGGAGTATGTCTTTTGCACGCAAACACAATATTCAGCTCACATCTGAGGTTTATCTCGGTAAATAAAAGCACTGCTCTTTCTCTCAGACATCCATCTCCGCCTTTGTGACAATGTGGGTCACGTGTCTGCATATATGATAAAGCGTGTGTTTAATTTCTCTCTGCATGATATGGCGCGACAGTGAAAAATGATGTGTGCGCCTTTCTGGTATTCAAACAAGGCGGAGAATTGCTTGCTAAAGAGAAATAGTCTCACGCGAGTAACTTTTTTAATTGCGGTGCAGTGAAAATTGCTAGTCCCAAGTAAATTAACGTAGCCATCATATTCAAATTAAAAGCAGCTCCGTCATTGAAATTGTAAAACATAATCCATGAAGTAGAAATGTAATATAGCATCAAAAATTATTTTCTTAATTTAAAATTGAGAAAACAGCTTATCTTATTAAAAACTACGGCAACAAATATCATTGGAAATTTTAAAGGATATCTTACTTAAAAAAAAATTCTTAATTGGGGAAGTTTTTCCATTTCACATTTTACTTCCACGAAAAAGACAGACGCATTCTACTTTCACACAAAATGAGATTTTTGTCACCACACGTTTTGAAGAGATAATCAATACCCCAAGGGCAAAATTCCACCCCTGAAAGTGCGAAGGCAAACAGAAACTTTTGTAATAACTGCCAGGCATAAATCATGATAGGATTCCAATATAATAGTTATTGCAGGGGTGGCCATATGTGTGTAGCACCTTAAGGGTTGTCTTATAATTTGTTAACAAGTGTGAAACTTTCCAAAAAGAGGGGATTTCTATCAATTTTTCTTCCTAATCCAGCTGCATTTCTACGATAAAATAATCCCCGAAAGCCCTTGACGCAGTTTTCTTTTGGTTAGTTTTATTTATCAGGATGAGAGAAAAAAGTTGCATCTCTTGGTCTAAGAAATTGATACTTTTTTGCAACCCATTTTAATTAAAGCACACTTTCAAGAGTGCCTCATTTTGCAAACTTAAGCTCTCCCAAAAGTTTGAGTTATGAGAAACAATTTTTCTCTTGTTTTATATCTCATTACAAAAACCAACCAAAGAAGCAAACAAACAAAGAGACTTTTCCATTCAAACACTCAATGGGGCTCTATCAAATTTTACCTAAAAATACATAATTTTTCCCAAGAACATTACAAAGCCCAAAATTAGCTTTTAGACATAATTATAAATTTTTAAGTAAAAAAAAAAAAAAAATCAGAACATCAGAAACCAGCTCTTTGGACAAGGAAATTCTATGTTAATTAATATTCCTATTTCATTCATTAATATTTAAATATTCAGATATTTAACAAGGAATGCATGGACACGAATATTTATTTACGATTTTATAAAAAGTTACTTTAATGAATAAAAAGGAACCAAAATACTATTAGGTAGATAACCTGTATAGAGGAACTTCAAGTAAGTCTTGAGCCAAAACAACAGAGCACTTGGAATGCTTCAACTCTGCCAACTTTTCTTCAGCTTCCCTCTGTAAGATTTCGAGTCTAGGACCATCCTGGGAAAATAAATAAATTTTGTATAATGCATGTGGAAATTTAAACTATTTAAATTAATTACCTCTTCATTCGATTGTCGATAGCGTTGGCTAAAGTGAGTCAGTAATAAAAGTTTGGCATTTATAGCAAATGCATAACTAGCTGCCATCCCAGGTGTGGAATGGCCTTTCTCCAGAGCGTTTTCAACCATACTATTTTCCAAGGTGGCTTCGTGAACCAAAGCATCACTGTCCCTGCAGAAAAAAATTAAATATTTTAAATTGAACATTTATTTGTAATTATTATACAATAATTACATTGCAATTTGGATCATCTTGTCAGAATTGCAAGTGTCTCCCATAATAGTTATTTTTCTTCCCTTTTTTGGCGGTCCGAGGACTTCATTTGATTTTACCTACAAGACAGTTGAATATTGAACAATGAACAACAATAATTATTAATTAAATACCACTTTTCCATCAGGAGTAACTATGTCCTTGCCATGCTTTAATTGAGAATAGAGAGGGCCAGGTTCAACCCCTAAAGACTTTAGTTTTTCAACATCCAACTTTCCGTTGGCATCCGGCTCTTGAACGACAAAACCATAGCTCGGAATCCGCAAGTGTTCGTTGTGGCCGGCAAGCACACTGGTCTTGGTGTTCTTTTGTTCTATCCTGAGAAATTATAAACATTATAAATATTATGATATTAAAATAGGTGGATTGAATTACATACACAGTCCAAACGTCATTTCTTGCAGAGATTTGTGTCCCCTGCAACTCTTGCGGATGAAGCCGCTCCTCCGAGAGATCAAACCTCCAATTTTCCCAGTCTTCTGGAAGCTGGTAACTTTCTGGCATCAATTCGTGCACCTATAAACAACATATTATAATTTAAGGTCAAAGCTTTAATTAATTTTCAATTTCACAAATTAAAAAAGGTATTCTTGAATTTTATGTAATTTAAATAATTTAAGCTTTCGAACCTGATACTTGAAAGGTAGCTCAGTTCTTGACAAGACCAGGCTCTGTCTTAAAAACTGCCTGAGTCCCTGAGGTCCATAAATTTCCAAAATAAAATCAGGCTTTACTGCACATTGAGTTGAGATTGTTGCTACCAATCCCGGAAGTCCGAAGAGCTAAAATTTCAAATTTTATTTTTGTTACATTTCAGTAAAATACTAACATGATCTCCATGGAGATGAGTAATGAAGATTTTAGTAATTTTTCCTGGCCTAATGCAGCTCTTTTGCAACTGGATCTGCGAGCCTTCGCCACAATCAAAAAGCCAAACAAAGCCATCTGCGGGAAAAAGAAAATTACAATATGTAATGATTTAAATTTGACGACAGAAAAAAATATAATTTTGTGATAAAATTTTTAAACGCTGGAAAATTTTTATTGAAAGACAAATAATACACCAAGAAAATAATAATATAATAAAGATTATTTACGAACCTTCGTGTCTGAGAGCAATGCAAGAAACGCCTCTGTTTGCGGTGGGGAAACACGAAGCGGTGCCCAAAAAGACAACCTGCATAATTAAAAGCGACTTATCTAGTCTTGTGGGTCAGAAAAACGCTTACTTAGGACGAATTGCGTTCTTTTATGGTTATACGGACATGCAAAACTTCAACGAAGGCGAAAGTAAACAATCCCACCTGGCCTCACATCAGCCTCACATGCAGCGAAGCGATTGGCCAATGGGAGCGCAGCTCTGTGTGCTCGACCAATCACAGCGCTCCAGCGAATGTTGACAGCCCGAAATCAGCTGCTGATAATAACTTTGTCAACTTCAGTGGCTTTTCCTGCACCGTGGCACGTCAGGTTCGGTGGGTTAAATGACCATAACATTTTTGGCAACCCAAGCTGCAGTTTGAGCGAAAAATTCTGTCCGAATGGCGTCGCCTTCAAACGGGACAAGCGACCAAAAGGTGGCCCTCATCACGGGCATTACGGGACAGGTTTGCATTCTAAATCATTTTAGCTCATTCCTTACCTTTTTGGCTTTTACTTTCCTCTTTTGAATGGATGGTGCGACTTGAATAATTAATTTGTGTTTGAAATTTTCAGGACGGTTCGTATTTGGCCGAATTTCTGATCGAAAAGGGCTACGAGGTGCACGGAATTATCCGTCGGGCGAGCACCTTCAACACCGGCCGAATCGAGCACCTCTACGCCGACCCCAAGACACACAAAGAAGGCAAAATGATTCTTCATTATGGTGACATGACGGACAGCAGTTGTTTAGGGAAAATTATCAGCATGGTGCGCCCGATGGAAATTTACAATTTGGCAGCGCAGAGCCATGTCAAGGTTTATATTATTTCCTGTTATGTAATTTTGAAGACATTTAATTTTTCAATTCTGTCTCAGGTTTCCTTCGATTTGAGTGAATATACAGCTGAGGTTGATGCTCTTGGTACACTGAGGCTTTTGGATGCCATTCGTACTTGCGGACTCGAACGGAATGTGAAATTTTATCAAGCGTCGACATCCGAGCTTTACGGAAAGGTGCAAGAAACGCCTCAGAAAGAAACAACGCCATTTTATCCAAGATCACCATACGGTTAGGATCATAATAAGCTAAATAAGCTGTAGTTAAACTATTAACAATTTTTATTTTGAAAAAAAAAATGCATAAATTGAAATTCATACAATTAAATAGTTTCAAAGTCACCGTTTATTTGTAAAATAATATTAAAGAAAAAAAATTAGTATATTTTACTTTTTAAAGTAATCTGTGTAAGGAAAATTTATTCTTTAGTTAATTTTAACAATGATGTTCGTTAATATTTTTAATTTTTGAAATGTTTTTAGCCTGCGCAAAACTTTATGCCTACTGGATTGTGGTAAACTACAGAGAGGCGTATAACATGTTTGCCTGCAATGGTATCTTGTTCAACCACGAAAGTCCGAGAAGAGGTGAAAACTTTGTCACAAGAAAAATAACCAGGGGTGTTGCGAAAATATCCCTCGGACAGCTCGAGTGCCTTGAACTTGGTAACTTGGATTCAAAAAGAGACTGGGGACATGCGAAAGACTATGTTGAGGTAAATTTGACACTTATTATGTCACATTAATATCTAAAAATAAAAAATTACAGGCCATGTGGTTAATGCTGCAACAATCTTCCCCGGAGGACTTTGTCGTTGCTACTGGTGAAACTCACAGCGTTCGGGAGTTTGTCGAAGCCTCATTTAAACACATTGGAATTGAAATAGTCTGGGAAGGTGAAGGCGTGAATGAAGTTGGAAAAGAGAAAGTTTCTGGAATAGTGAGAGTTCGAGTCAATCCAAAATACTTCCGTCCGACTGAAGTGGTAAGACTTCGTAGATTTAAAACTTGCAATCTTCTAATTACACTCATGCTGTAGGATCTTCTGCTCGGAGATTCAACCAAGGCAAAAGAAAAGCTAGGATGGATACCGAAAGTTGAATTCCAGGTTAAATCTTCAGATTAAATTATTATTGTCAGAATTTAATTTATTATTATCTGCCAATTTTAGGAACTTGTCACAGATATGATGACTGCTGATATCCTTTTGATGAAGAAAAATTCCTACGCCTGATCAATTTTTAAAATGGGAACGGTGCAATTTTTATGAGAATGAGATGCATTTTTTTTTATCAAATTAAGAGTGCTCACATTTTTTTAATGATTTTGCAACTCTTACAGTTATTCCGTTGGCCTTGCCAATTTTATTGTCTATCAAACGTATTATTTTGAATAAGCAAATCCATCTGTTATTTTACTTCAATATTTGTTCATTTATTTTGCATTCCACATTTCTAAATTTACATGTGCAACCTATTTTTAACTGAATGATTGTTTTTTGTGCACAAATGTGAAACTGTACAGCTAGTCAAATTGGTCATTTCGATTGGAATAAAAGAAACATTCTTCTCGTTTGAAAACATTTTTGCGTTTTCCTGCAGCGCATTTGTGCTTGTGTACATTTGTGTGTTTTGAATTTTGGCAAAGGCTGTTTATTTTCCCGACGCAGCTCTGTTTGAAGTTTTACCAACTTCTGATATTGGAAGGCCGTAAAATCCCGTCGGCAGATGCACATGGCCTTTTTTTATTTCTCTTCTTAAACGATTTCTTTATTTGAGTCTGTTTTTATGCCCTTTGAAGACATGCTTGTTTAACTTGCAGCTTTAAAAGTGCAGCGCAGACTTTGTTTATTTGGGTTAGGTATGACTCTGTGCGCTGCGGCTGGGCCGCTCCTTTGTTTAGCATTGGCTCGTTACCATGTAATTTGTCATTTTATGGTTACTTGGAAACTCCATCCCCTTCTTGAGAAAACGTTAAACAAAAATCCTCCAATCTAGATTTTCATCTGTGCAGGCGGCATGTTCTTTCAAAATAAATTCAAATACAATTCTAAGAATTTTTTATGTCTATAGATCAGAAACATTCTTTAAAAATTGAGTTAATGAAAATGGGAAAAGTTTTATTATTTATTTAAACATTTTATTAATTGGTTTTAAAGTTGATTAGTAGAAAAAATAAATTTTCTTGTAAATTTTTTCAATTAATAACTTCCTTTTTTAAAGGATTGATACAAAAGAAGCTACTTTTCTGGTATATGTGCGACCAAGAGAGCGTGTTTTACGAGAGTTGATTGAGCATATTTTGGGTAAATAAACACGGCGGTCGCAGTGTTAAAATGACACCCCGCTGAGAGAGCGCAGCGTGTCTGTCTTTGGTGTTTCAAAACTCCTTTTTAATAGTCCTGATCTGGCGCTGCGACCATAAAACCCTTTGACCCGCTGTGCGGTTTTGCGGCCGCCATTAACATGTTTTTACGTTTCCTCTATCAGAAGAACACATTAAACTTTTACTGTTTGATTATTTTGAGAGAAAAAGATGTGTGTAACAAGAAGGACCGAGAGTCTCTGAAAAGCTCAGCGCCGCGCGGCATCTGCGTAATTCTGTAAACAGTGGTCCAAACTGAAATCGCGCCGCGTCACGCAAATATTCCCTGATCGCATCACGAGTCTCGCGCTGCGTTGAAAGTTGCCTTTTGACTGAATCCGGGAACCATACAACATCAAAGCTAGACAGGCTAAAATATAATATCTGGTTTGAGTGTCTGGGAACTAAATTTGGGATAGAATAGTAATTAATTAATAATTTTAGGAACGCAATTTTTATTGTTTTGATATTTATTTTACATACAAAACTACTTAATTTGTCGTTTGATATGGATAAAAAAAATAATAATTTTGAATTTTCAATATTTTCATTTCTACATTATTTACTAATTAAATTTAGTGTAACTTTTAGTTAAGTTTACAAGGTAGGCAACTGGTGAAACAGAGGAGACAAGCCAAATGCCTACTTCGAATTTACTAGGGGCACCCTACAAAGCATCATATTTCTATCAGTTTCTTATACGGAAACAAAGATTTGACGAGAGAAATACATGTGAAATATTAATTATTTGATCGTCACCTTTTTACCACTCAGTAGTTTCATTTTTTTCCATCTGATTCCTTGTTTGCTTTGAATAAGTAAATTTAATGTTAGTTCTTTCAAGAACAAAAATTATCAATGGAATCATATGTTGAGACAAACGATAGCGAAATAAACTCATTGCATGGCAAAATTGGGCAAAATCTTAAAAATTTAAATTGCTATCGTAGTCTTCATTACTAAATTTTAAGATTTTCTTTTTAAATTCTACATTTTTAATATTTTTGTCTGCTGTAAATTTAATAAACAAAAAAAAATTTAATTATGGAGATATTGGATATCTATTTTTCTATGTCCAGTGTGCATGCAAAATTAATTTATCGAAGTCTCAGTTCTGTTCATACTGTGGTGTCTGTTATTTTTGACCCTTCATTCATCTGAGCACAAACGCAGCAAGTTCTGGCCGCGTGCCACATTGTTGTAATAATTTATTTCATATAAAACACACACCATCGCTGCAGATGTCATCAGCGCGTATTATTTTCTTCTGCAAGTATCGCGGGTTCTTTTTTGTCGTTGACAGCTTCGGCAAAAGCAACTCCTTCGACCGCCCGGGTGGTCCTTTTTCTCGCGCTCTCTCGCCCTTTCATGTGTTGAATTTCTTCGATATGTTGAATATCCAAACACACATCAGCCGTGGCGCGCGCTTTTCGCCAGACTTTTTGTGCGCCGACTATTTAAACTAGCGTTCCAAGTGATTGGTACAGTGAGAGTTTTATTATCTGGACGTCAGCGGGTCAGCCCTTTCGTCATTGGTGGTCCACTCGCCTCGCCGAATTTCTTATGCATGACGCAATTTTGCACGGCGGGGAAGTTTTTAACAAAGTGCTTTCAACTTATCAACTACGTAAAATTCGATATTCAATTTTATCAATAAGTTTGTAAAATTTTATCCAATTTAATTTATTTTGTATAAATTTCACATAAAATTAGCAATTGGAAAAAACTTTTTTGCTAAAATTTATGAATGTTAGGTTCATATTTAAAAGTAAAGCAACAAATTCCATTGTTAGAGATTTAAAAATTAAATTTTTGAAATTAAATATTAATAAATCTCTGCGTTAATTGCAAAAATAAAGAACATTGAAAGGAGAGCTGGAATTTGCATGAGCAAACAAATCTTGAATTTTTAGCTGCTTTGAAGAAATATATAATATATTTTAGCTTTTAAAAAAATCTATAAATTTAAAAATATTAATAATTAAAAATTAATTTCTAAAAAGATTTCAATAAATAAACTTGGTAAATAAAACAAAATTATTTGAATAAATGGTATGTTAGTATCTAATTTCTATAAAGACCATTTTTAAATAAGTATTTTTTTTAATAATGTAAAAATTTGTTTCTATAAAACTTGTCATAATAATTTGTCTAATAAATAAAATCAGAAAAAAAATTGTGGCAAAGCAACTTTCAATTTTCCGAAGAGCTTTTCCCTGCACGCGATGATCGGAACGCCGACCCCAATTTATGGCGGCTGCGGCCGTCTCTCGCTGCTTCGATGGTTTATGTAGTAAAACTTTTTCACACTTGTCCGAGAAGCTAAACAACAACATTTGAGGGCCGCCACTGAGAGCCGGGGGAGGAACATAAAATATTCAAAGGAGCGTTTGCGCCGCGGCTGCAGTGCCGAAGATGCTGCCGTTGTCGCCGTACCTGTCCTATGGACCCGCGGCAGGGTTCGCCCTGCAACGGGAGCTGCTCTCGTCGCGCCTGCTCTTCCACCACCCGCAGCACCACCAAAAGCCGCCCTACTCGTACATCGCCCTCATCGCCATGGCCATCAACTCGACGCACGACCGCAAAATCACCCTGAACGGAATCTACAACTTCATCATGGACCGCTTTCCCTACTACAGGGACAACCGCCAGGGCTGGCAGAACTCGATTCGCCACAACCTGAGTTTGAACGAGTGCTTTGTCAAAGTGCCCAGGGAGAAGGGTGCGCCTGGAAAAGGGTCGTTCTGGTCGCTTGATCCAAATTGCACGGATATGTTTGAACACGGAAATTACAGGTACAAAAATTAAATTGATTTTTTTTTTCTATTTTGAATTTCCTCTGCATTTGAAAAACTTGTTTGAAAAAATTTCATTTTTCGGAAGTATTATTTTTTAAAGTTTATTAATCGTTTTTGCATCCATTTGCGTCCATGATTGAATCATTTTTATGAAATGAAATTTACCGTTTTAAAATTATCAAAGCACATCTAGCCACGAGAATTTTCAATAAAAGTAATCATCTGTGTATTAAATACAAAAAGTCTCAAATTCGACATCAATTTATTTTATGATAAAAATTCTGTTAATTAGAATTTCTTACAAAGGAAATAAAAATAGACGGTAAACAAAATTTGTAGTTTAAATCATTAAAAATTAAAAGAATAAATAATTATTAAATATTTAAATCAACGTAATAACATTTTTGTGTTGAAATCTATTCAAATATAATATTTATTTAATATAAAATTATTATTATTAAGTGTTATTAAAACACTAATTAATTAATATTGTTTGCTTAAGACGCAGAAAACGGAAGCCTGCTGCCGTTCAGCCGAGAGCCCAGAAATCCGCACCTGCAAACGCCGACAAGGGTAATCTGGCAGGAACTTCAACGAGTGATAAAAGTGAAAGGGTTGCCAACAACGGTGGCGATTCCGAGCCAGAAGCAAAGGAAATTTCCAGCAAAGCCTCGCTATTCACAATCGAGAATCTCATCAAGAAATCACCCTCAGAAATTAAAAACGAAAACCTGGCGCTCCGAAGGTGGAGTTTGGACGACCCTGAAACTTTGAGATTTTATCAGCAACAAATCGCGAGGCAGTGGTGGCCGGTTGTCTGCAGTTCCTCATAAATTTATTGGTAGGAAAATCTAATAATTATTATGATTTAACTTTATTGCCTTTCTCTGTCTGAAGAATTATTATATTACTTATTATTTTTTTTGTATTAAGTAAAATAGTTCCACATTTTCTCATGATTCGGAAAGAAGAAGATTAAAATATTTTCAATATTATTCCTATCCTGCACTTTTATTAAATTATCACAATGAGAAAAAATCTAGAAACAAATAATAAGTTCTTTGACAGACAAAGAGAGATTAAAGTAAGATTGCGAATTTTCCTTCTTGGCGTCTAACATTTACAAAACTAGATCAAACATTTTTATTCTCGTTGCTTCTAAATTGTTCAAAGAACCTTCTTGGGAAATGCAAATATTTAAAAACATCTTCCTGTTTGTTGCAGGTGGTGCACGTGTGTGCCAGCAGAATGCAAATAAAACAATTGCTTTTCGCAGCGTTATTACTTATGCAACGAAGAGCCTGTGTAACTTCCAGTGCTAGAATGGAAATGAGTTTTGCGAGAGAGTGCACGTTATACCGACCGGATGCGATTTACACAAGGCGACAGCGAAGAACACAAACACACGGCGGCAGCTTTTACATAGATTAGATTCTCTCTTCCTTCAACGTGTACGTACTTTTAGGTGTCTCTCCTTATTTTGTTTATTGAAAAGTTTGTGCTTAAAGCTGATTTGTGATGCTCTTTCCCAAAAGAGATCTAGTTACAAAACCAAAGTTTCCTATTCTACATGTTAAGACGACGTGTGAAGTTGTGTTTCCAAAACACAAATGCGTTGACATTTAAATAAAGTACCGAAAGGCGAACAAAAGTTTGAGATGTTTGTTTTTTATGATATTGTCCAATGGAAATTTATAAATTAGGAATTGGTTAAGCTATGAAAATGTTGATTATTGAAGTGCGTTAAATCGAGATATAAGTGGAAAGGAGGCAACTAGATGGCAAATAATTGATTGCATTGGTCATATTTTGGGAATTTTCTAGATTTTTTTGGTTCAAAAATAATGTTATTTTATTCTGTAAATATTTTTTTTATAAATTGATTTTCATAATCCACCATGCCATGAAAACAATTGAGCTTACATTAGTAGAAGTAAATATTCTATGAATATATTTATATAAAAGTTTCAAGAAATCAAACAAAAGAATACCTTATTTGCAGATAAACAAGAAAATCACGAAATTATAGCTTTAAAAATAAAAATTGACACTTAATCAATGAATGAAAACTTTTTGTCTTAAAATTTAAAATATCTAAAAATGCTGAGACCGTTTTATCAGTATTATCATTTACAAATATGCACATATTATTTCGACGTGCTATTTTATAATTCAAGGGTAGAATTATTGAATAGAACAAAAATAAATTCCTTCGTTCATCGGTCCAATTTTTGCTACCATTTATAGATAAATATAATATCACAGCCACGACATGTTTGATCACGTAAATTAAATAAAATGATAGCTTAATTTGTTATTTTTTTATTATTTTCAATGTTTCAAGTAGTCATAAACAATAAACACTAAATCGCAACTGGCACGAATCGGCACATTTTATAATAATTTATATCAAAATAGCTCAACCACAATTTAATGCTCTATTTTGTCTATGTCTATCGAAGTGGTTTACCGCGCGGAGAGTGTAAACTTGGCAAATAATAGATGAGCTGCAGGTACAGGGAGAAAGTTAATTTTGATCAGGAGGCAATAAAACGGCAGGACCAATAAGGCGTGTTGGGCGGCGAAGTGCGTGGGCCAGGGAATTAAGTGCATAAAATATGGCGCTGGCCAGTTTCATTGGCTGGCAGTTAATCAGTGGCGCCTTTGATGGGTTCGCTCGAGCTCTCCGTACGCTCGTATTTCGTACCCTTATTAAAGTTAAAGACAGTTTTACTGTTTCATCCGAGAGTGAAAGAGAGAGTTTGGTGTTCGTCTTGCTTCTTATCAACTACTCTCTCTTAAACGGGCCACACCCTCGGCTTATCGGTCGGCCGCGTTTAGAGACTTGCCTGGCGCGATCCATCACGATAAATCGCGTCTTCCTATTCACATTGCTACAAATTACTCACTTCACTTGCCGGCAAAATGGAAAGACAGAGAGAGACTCCGGTTCGATCCTATCTTGCGTCAAAAAGAGGTTTAGCACCAATCGTGACGGCCCTTGACCTCAATCAGAAAATGAGATAATGCAAGAGGGAATGGATTTTGGCAGTGAAAATTATTGCTTTTGAAATTTTCTTAGAAAATTAAATCTATTTTTGAAACACTTTATTTAAAAAGTCTGCTTAAATTGATTGATATTTGATATTAAAAATTATATTGATTAAATTGAACAAATATTTTTTTCAATGCAGCCAAATACGTCAAACAGATATGAAACGTTTTATCTAGGTTATTATCACTCTACTGTTTTATTTTAATAATTTATCAAACAAAAAATTAGCTTAATATATAATTTTATAATGTAGGTTTGATCCCATTCATTGAAATTATATTTTGCAAACATAAAAATTATCAAAATTCACAAGCAACAAGAGATGAATTTTTTTTAAATTTGTTAATCGATGAATTTTTGTAGAATAACCTTCAAAAGATCAGCCACGTGCGCTTTTCCACCTGGGGTCTAATTCTGTAAGATAGAATCGTCCCATTTCCATTTCTATTTCATTTTCCATTTGCTTACCCATTCCATTTCGTCGCCTTTTTCGATAACGACTTCTATTTCGCTGCCATTCCATTTCCATTTCTATTTCGTCGTCAATTTTAATAATTGAGCCATATTTATATTTATATATATTTATTTATATTTAATTTAATTATTGCATATATTATGCGCTTACAGTAATTTTCAAATGATTTTTAATATACTCAAGTCAATAAAATGTATAAAAAATTATTTCAATAAGGCGTTGAGTCAAAAGTACCTCAGTGTGGGAGCAAATTGTGGTACCACATTGTGGGAGCAAATTGTGGTACCACAGTGTGGAAGCAAATTGTGGTACCACCGTGTGGGCGAAAATTGTGGTACCACAGTGTGGGCGGGAATTGTGGTACCGCAGTGTGGGCGCAAATTGTGGTACCACAGTGTGGGCGGAAATTGTGGTACCACAGTGTGGGCGGAAATTGTGGTACCACAGTGTGGGCGCAAATTGTGGTACCACAGTGTGGGCGGAAATTGTGGTACCACAGTGTGGGCGCAAATTGTGGTACCACAGTGTGGGAGCAAATTGTGGTACCACAGTGTGGGTGGAAATTGTGGTACCACAGTGTGGGCGGAAATTGTGGTACCACAGTGTGGGCGGAAATTGTGGTACCACAGTGTGGGTGCAAATTGTGGTACCACAGTGTGGGCGGAAATTGTGGTACCACAGTGTGGGCGCAAATTGTGGTACCACAGTGTGGGCGCATATTGTGGTACCACAGTGTGGGAGGAAATTGTGGTACCACAGGGTGGGCGCATATTGTGGTACCACAGTGTGGGAGGAAATTGTGGTACCACAGGGTGGGCGCAAATTGTGGTACCACAGTGTGGGCGGAAATTTTGGTACCACAGTGTGGGCGGAAATTGTGGTACCACAGTGTGGGAGGAAATTGTGGTACCACAGTGTGGGAGCAAATTGTGGTACCACAGTGTGGGAGCAAATTGTGGTACCACAGTGTGGGCGGAAATTGTGGTACCACAGTGTGGGAGGGAATTGTGGTACCACAGTGTGGGAGCAAATTGTGGTACCACAGGGTGGGCGCAAATTGTGGTACCACAGTGTGGGCGGAAATTGTGGTACCACAGTGTGGGAGCAAATTGTGGTACCAAAGTGTGGGCGGGAATTGTGGTACCAGTGTTTGCGGGAATTGTGGTACCACAGTGTGGGCGGGAATTGTGGTACCACAGTGTGGGCGGGAATTGTGGTACCACAGTGTGGGCGCAAATTGTGGTACCACAGTGTGGGCGCAAATTGTGGTACCACAGTGTGGGCGGAAATTGTGGTACCACAGTGTGGGCGGAAATTGTGGTACCACAGTGTTTGCGGGAATTGTGGTACCACAGTGTGGGCGGGAATTGTGGTACCACAGTGTGGGCGCAAATTGTGGTACCACAGTGTGGGCGCAAATTGTGGTACCACAGTGTGGGCGGAAATTGTGGTACCACAGTGTGGGCGGAAATTGTGGTACCACAGTGTGGGCGCAAATTGTGGTACCACAGTGTGGGCGCAAATTGTGGTACCACAGTGTGGGCGCAAATTGTGGTACCACAGTGTGGGCGCAAATTGTGGTACCACAGTGTGGGAGCAAATTGTGGTACCACAGTGTGGGCTGAAATTGTGGTACCACAGTGTGGGAGCAAATTGTGGTACCACAGTGTGGGAGCAAATTGTGGTACCACAGTGTGGGAGCAAATTGTGGTACCACAGTGTGGGCGGGAATTGTGGTAGCACAGTGTGGGCGCAAATTGTGGTACCACAGTGTGGGAGCAAATTGTGGTACCACAGTGTGCGAGCAAATTGTGGTACTACAGTGTGGGCGGAAATTGTGGTACCAAACAGTGCACGCGATGAATTAAATAATATAAAATACATGGTTGCTAATTTGCTAAAAAAAAATATTAATTATTATTTGATACATTAATAAATATTTTGAAAAACTAAACAAATAAATTTAATTGAAGAAATTGAAAATTTACACTCAAGGAGATGATCGGGAAATGAAGAATTCCGGCGTGTCCTCGTTGTAAAAAATTATTTTTTTTTCTAAAAGAAATGGCTCTACCAGTTTCGGTCATGGTCTGCGACCCTATTTCATGAGCAAACGCGCTGCTCGCAGAGTAATAAATTTAATTCACCGATCAAAAGACTCACGAGTCAACATCATGTCCTGGGAAACACATGTGATTAATTTAAAACAAATTAATAAATTCGTCTTATGAAAGACTTTTTTGAAAGAAAATTTATAAAATGAAAATTCAAAAAAGCAAATTAATTTGAGTGAAAAAAATTCCACCCATTTGTACACACAGACATTTAATTTTTTTAGTTGTTCTGTATTAAATAAATCATAATGGGTTTACCGCGGCGGCCATGTCTCTTTTGATGTCGGGCGTTTTTGCAGACATCTGCTAGTTGTAAACCCTGTCTTCTCTTTATTTCTCCAATTTAAAAATTTTTGTACAGGCCGAGAAGAATAAATAATAATAAAAATAATAATAATAATCATGTTTATTGCATTCATATTTTAAAACTTTTATGTTAAAATTATCTACTTTTGAAAATTTTTTTATTACGCAAAACAAAATTTTGCAATAAAAAATTATAAAGAATGTATGTATGTGAGATGGGCGCAGAGCGCGGGTGTACAATTACTTAAGCGCACCAAATAAACGATGCAGAAAAAATCTTTCTATGAAAGGGGTACGCTTTTGTTAGTAGACCAATAAATCTATATGTAATTAGAATTAAGATTTTATTAAAAAAAGTGAGATTAGTTGTTCTGCATGAATTGAAAAACTCGAAATCAATGGAAAATATTTTGAGCAATTAGGTATAACATTATATTATAAACAGTCCAATCGATCTGCCAAACAGCGCACGCGATTAATTAAATAATATAAAATACATTGTTGCTCATTTGCTAAATAAAACATTAAAATCGCATTTAAATTCTACCTATTTTTAAGAAATTGATTTAAACAGGATTTCAATTGATTTCATTAAAGAAAAAAATC